AGTGTGAAGATTCAATATTTTATCAAACCATGCTGACAAAAATCATGTCTTTTCTCAATTATGAAAATTTGGGTTGACAAATGACACCCTTTGCGTGTTGGTATGTTTTACCATTGACAATCTCCTCACTTAAAAATACACTGCAATTTCCTTTGAATTCCATCACATCAAAATATGCTTTATTTTGTATATGAGTCAACAGTAAATGGCACTTGATATAAAACAGTTCACTTAACATCAAATTATTCATTTTTATTACCAACTCTCCATGGAGTGGTTTCTCTCAAAGATTTCACCCATAATGAAATTTCTTGCATTTTCAAATTGTGCTTATCCATTTTCATTAGAGGGAAATTGGCAAGAAATAAGCAAGTAATTTCATATGAATTTTAAAATAAAGTTTTTGGATAATGGAATATTGCAGACAAGCTTCTCAATCAATATTGAAGGTGTGGAATAAAAATTGGTGAAATTATTTGATAGGTTTATATGCTTGAGTGTTTTATTAAATTATGGATGTGTCAGCTCGATTTTATTAGAGTGTTTCTTCCACAACTCAAAGCTCTGCCAGTCAAAATCACCATAAGTTCTCAGCTTTGTCTGATTATGATATGGCTAAATCTTGTTCTCGCCCCTCCCCTTTACATCCTTTATGTCCCCAACCCTTCCCTCTTTCTCATTCCCTTTTCTCACCCCCCACCCTTTCTACCTTAACTTGTCACCATTCCCTCCTTTTCCCAGTTATTGTCCAAATACTTTTAACAAAGAAAAATTGCTTATTAATGGATCCTGGGTTTTTGTTCGAGAAAAATGAAGATTACTTTTTCATAATTTTTAATCACTTCTTTGGTAAAAAAAATATCAAGATGAATTTGTTCCAAAAAATGCTTTTCACATTATCGCTACATTTTGGACCTCAGATCTTCAACAACCCTAAATATATTGAATCATCTTTATAACCTCAGGATTAGTACAACTTATAATATATGACACAATATAGAATTCTTCCTATAATAATTATTTGGAATCAATTCCCATTGATATTGCAACAAATTGCCTGCAGAATTGATCTGTTAATATAAGGGATAATAAACTCTGATCAAAGGTCTCATGATATATTCATGTAATAGTTAATATTAAGAATTTAATTGCTCAAGTATTAATGCAAAGAGATTATACTATAAGTGGTATCAATTTGACCTTCATCTGGTTTTCATAATATTTGATGCAATGTTTTCATTAAGGTAGGGATGGTTTCTGGACCAATGGACCTGTTTGTAGAGGGTGTCAAGTAAATATGTTCTCCCCCCCCCGCTTTAACATCTACACAATGTTGCATAACATTTTTGTCTGTACGAAATCATTAATTGTTCTTTAGCACATTAAAACTAGGCTTGATGGAGCATGCAACTCCACATGAGGTTTCAGATGACTAGCTCAACTAGATGCACTTTTGTGCATGAAAGTTCATAGTTTTGAAATTAAGGGGGCAGAACATATTTATTTGACACCCTCAGATGATTGCAAACCTACATAAGAAAGGTCAATGTTACTGGGATGAATAACAAGACATTTCTAACCAAAATAGCCAATTTCTCTAGTTAGATCAGGAAGCAATATTTTGTGATGAAAATATAGCAACCAAATGTTGGTGATTCCAATTTATTAACTTGTTACATGCTAGACCTACCTTAAATTCCCTGACTTTACATCCCCTTGTTCTTGCAGTGTTAGTGCATTGACGGTAATTTGATTGACTTACAATTGTAGCTTTTAATTCATGCTCTAATTCTAAGTTTTTAAACAATTCAAACTAACTTTTGAAATACTTTTAACTTTACCAGGTCGATCAATAAGTTCTCAGAAAAACTCTCTTTAATTAAGAGTTTTTTGGTTCATGCATTAGATAGTAAGGTCACTTAGTAAAATTACATTGCAAAACTGATCTCACTTCATTACCCATTGACGTTTCTTATAAAGATAACGAAAAGCGCATAAACAAGATAATAGAGATACTTTTGACCATCCTTCCTCCTACAAGAGTATTAAACACACATTATTGAAGATAGCATACATATTAAAAAGGTTATCCTACAATGATAATACACTTAATTTAAAGATGTCATGATTTTTATTTACATTTTGGTTTGTGGTAGATTGAAACCGATTATTTAGAAAATTGTCAAATAGGATGTAAATAAAGAAATACGGATATGACAATTGGCATAATATCTCAATTATCTGGTAATAGCTCTTTAATTTGCGCTGATTGGTGAAAAATATGGTTCAAACAGTGTATATGCATCCTACACATTTCACTAAAATTTGGGAATTTTCCTACTTTTGTCAGGAAGAATCATTCTAGGCAACATTAGAGGAACACCAAATACTAGTCCTATCCTGGCAGGGTAATGATTTTGTATATTATTTTATCTAGCCAAAATCCAGTCAAATTAGGTCATCAAAATTTAGCTATCCAATCAAAATTACATTTTTTATGCCTTCATAAGTACCTGTCATGCATTGCATATTCAAACTCTTACCAATTGCCATGGCAGCTACTTTTGAGATCATTTTGAGCCTCAGAACTAAAATGATCCTAGTGAGCCGATAGCACTCATTTGTAGCCTCTGAGCATCTGGGTTTCAGACTGGGCTTTCTATTCAATATATAACTATTTCACTATCCATGAATAAAACACTACAAAAACAATGGTTGTTCATCTCATGAATGGTTATGTGACTGACCCTTACATTACAAAGATGTCACCTTGCAGAATTTTCATCTGCCCTTACAAAATATATTTCATATTCTGTCTTCTTATTTAAAAATGATTGATAATAATTTTCAATCCTTGGAAATATTGATGTTAAAGGGGCTTACATTAAAGTTCAGAAGTATGACATATTTTAACGCTTTTACATTCATAAAACTCTAAATATGAAAATAAGTTTTTTTGTGAGAGTTGGTATAATTTGTCATATGGCGTCATGGTTGATCATATAATTATGAAGAGTCTAATTAATTGATGACAAATGCAAAAGTAGTGAACAGGTATTAGGTAATCAGGGATTTGTAATGTCATCTGTGATAGATTTGTAATCCATCCCTTGGGTCATCTTCGCTTGTTTTGAGGTTCACTTCATCAATTATGACAAGCAAGCTATCAATGAACTTAATGATACTCATGAAGAAATCAGGAAATCATGTACATGTATATTCGTTAAATGTTTTATATACTGGGAGGTTTTAGATATAGGGTTTATCTTGAGGTATATATCTATTTCCCTGAGAGAGTGTAGGGATAAAAATGAACTTAAATGACTCTCTAGGATTGACCCCATGTGTTCCCTCCCCCTATCCACAATGCTTGTCTTAACGATTGTGACTTGGAATAAAAAAACATAATTAAACAAGTGACCCTTCTCTCATACAAGTAATTAGTTTGATGTCCACACCCTTATATGCTCTGATGAAGAGCAAATACAAATATTTCATCACTTCCCACTACTCAGGATATGCCCAATATTTTTGACATTTTTCTCTGTACCGCTTATACTACAGCGAGGTTACCACGATCCAGACTTACGCCATAATTCAATGAATATTGACTTATCTCAAATAAATACTCTATGGGCAATATTTGACTGCGATGAAAAAGTCAAATATTTTTACGGATTTAGAAACTATCAGGTGAAAATTGAAGGAGTGCTTTTTCATGCAGATTTTTATCTGAAGTAGCTTTCACACCAATTGTTAACTTATGTTATCCTTCTTGACATATTTAGATCAGTATAACTCTAAAAGGAATCGTATTAAATGTGAAGGACATCTTGAGTATCTTCTGTATTTCAAAGGAATAGGACTCAGTACGAATGATTGAAGAAAAATAGGAATGATCTTGGGTCAAATGCAAGTGCAGGGGCAAAGTGTGTTGAAACTGTGTCTTGGCTTGCCTTTTTGAAAAATGAGCCTCAATTTATGAAAAAGGAAAGGGATGGTTTTTTTAAACAATTTCCCCTTTCCTCATTTCAACATTCAGAACTGTCCTTACAAAGTGCTGTAATCGTTATGTAGGAAGTTTATGTTCTGATGATTCAGGGCTGTAACATTTCACCCAAAACTTATTTTGAGTAATAATTACATAATTTGTTTGCTGGAATGTCTAAAGAAAATACAACAGGGATATTATAGATTGCAATGAGCTAACAAACCCCATTTTTATATCCGCTTTGGATTACTCTACAAATGGATTTCACAATTTAAATTACATTTTCCTTTATGCTATTTAGATACTGAAATAAAAATAAACAAATACAAAATAGTGTTGGTTTAATCGATTATGATAACATTTAAGGAGAAAAGCTAATCCATTCTTAGATCCTTTATTTCTCAATAGAAATATCAATATTGAATTTTGAGTGGTCAGAGTCCCAAATGAATGAATGCTGATCGAATTGATCAAGTCAGAAGATTGATCAAGGTCAGAGTACCCAATCAACATTTTGTAATGGTGGTTCAGTTATATAAGTTTTATCATTATTTTCATGAATATATATTTTTGTGAAGTCAACATGTATCTCATACCAATTTTTATGGATTGAATATGAAATCGTATAATGTATCAATTGTTCCAGAAAAATGATTCATATTGATTGACTATGCTCACATTGGTGTATAATAGGCGGAATAGTTTAAATTGTTTGAACATGTGCTAAACTGTTGAATTGGATAAAAGAGAGTCAAGTAGCCTTTACTTTGCTATACATTAGTAAACCACACTTGGACACATTTCATTATCCAACCGTGCACTTGATTCAATATAGATGTATTATATAGGGGCCTTGTAGCATATTGGAGGTCGGATTCATCCAGGTTCTGCCAAGTTACATGTATAATTGGAAACATAGCTGCTACTATAGGGAATGTATGAATGTACTTTTTTATGTCACTGGAATTTTCACTGGAAAGTTGTGTCTGTAAAAAGTGGCTGTTAGAGCGCAGGAATTCATAATAAGCTTAAAATCCAAGACAGCACCAGAGAAACCTGTTGATCTTGCACAGGTGACATTCAAGAAGAGAACACACTACAAATACAAGTAAAAGAACATATTCCCAGAGGTGTCAAGTTAGAGACTGAGACACTTAGAAAACTTGGCAAAAATTCATAAGAGTTAAAGAGATTCACTCAAAGGCAACATAGGCCAAAAACCAAGTTTCGCTTTTATAGTGGAGCCCTGCCTTTAACTACTTAACAGTGCAGTGACTGGAGCAAAAAGGCCTGAAATAACCTGATAGAAGAGTTACTCCAAAGTGACACCTAAAGTCTGTACTTTCTACATTCATCTCAAGGAGAGACTGACAAGGATATGAATTAACATTGGATTGTCAAGATAAGAAAGTGTGTTTTATATTGCTCTTGAGGAACTATTAAGAAAACATTAAAGACTTCACCCAGTTTGTATTCATACACATATGAATGTTTTGGACGCATTATTTGAGGATATATTCATAACAATGGACTGATATTTGTACCAATCATATTTGGAATAATCTTGCCTGATTTGCAACCATTTGAATATGAAGCCAGGAACTCGTTTTCAGCATGTAAGTATTTCAATTTTCACAGATGTGAGGCTAGATACTTCTTTAAATCTTCGTTCTTATGGAAGTGAATTTCTGACACTGCATGCTGTTACATTTGATAAGTTTTTTGTGTACTCATTAACTTGCGCTTTTTAAATGTTATCACTCAGTTGTCTTCATTGTCATGCCATGTGCAGAATGTACAAGCCTGATCATGTTAAACATATCCTATTATTCCTCGTAGGAGGATATTATGCATACCTGTCAATATCTGAACGCTAATTCCAACTTTGTTTGAATATTTGAAGCTGCAACAGGGGTTTCATTAGAATTTCCCAGAACAGGCTAAATAAATGAAAACAACAGGCAAAATTTATGGAAATCATAAATTTAACATGGAAAAGTTGAAAAGTCCTTAGAATCAACAGGCAATTTTGTGAAAACAACAAATGAAAATCGCCTTTTGCCTGCTGCTAATGAAACCCCTGCTGTATAAGAAATATGTGAAATTATATCCTTTTCTGCTTTGGGGTAGTTTCACCTTTTAAAAGTGTTTTTTCATATGCTATTTTTATCTTAAAATTAACAAAAGATATACATATTTTGGGTTCTAATTAGCAGAGAGTCATTACTAAAATAATTGTCTATCTTAAAGTTATTACTATGAAAATATAAAAGTACAAAAGTAAAACAGGCGGCTATATCTTAGAAATGAAATGTCTGTTTGCTTCAATGTATCATGAAGAATTATACATATCAGAAAATTCAATATTGAAATAAGTCGCAATGTGGTTTATACAAATATTAATTTCATTTGAGGATGGTTTGGGTAGTTTGTGGTCAAGCAATATTGAAATAATATATACTATTGGCATTTTTCCAATGAAATGTGGTTATTTGATTTATAACTTATTGTAGTTGTTTTCGCTTTCCCTTTCCAAAAATTTATATTTAGAATTGATTAATTATATAAAACTCCATAGTTGGTTAAATCATATAAACATACAGGTAAATAAGATCTGCAGATGTTGAAACTGTGCTATTTAAAACATAAGTGCCCTGGTTTCACTTTTAGCTATTAGCTTATAAGCTTATGACACTTTCTTTTTTCACATGCTGACATGTCATTATGTATTAATATACAAAAGTGTGATAAACAATAGGGGGTAAATTGAACACCCCTGTTATACTCCACTTGTTCCGTTTTGTATTAAATAATTATTATTAATTATTCCACATATTTGATATAATATATGTTAGATAAGACATGTTATGGTGATATCTTTTAATCATCTTTCTCTTTTGATTAACTAATCAACACTTGATAAAGTTTTTTTAACTACATATACATCAAATGCTCCACAATGATCTTAAAAATGAATAATATATATTTCTAATTTCTGGCACTCTCAGGCTCTTTGAATCTCATATGAAGTAATTGGCTTAGTTAATACTTGATCACACTTTCTGTGCACTATGGTTTATGACATCCATAATTCTTTTGTTATTTCACAGTTATAGCCTTTCAGATAACAATGGCTTGTGTGATTACATAACCTCTAATTACACTTTCTGGTGACCCCTTTGTGTGTTAATTAGATATTACTTATTGTATTTCACCAAGTTATATTAATGTCATTTACTTGGATATTATGGTATTAATAATTATGTCTTGAACCTCCAAGCATTATATATTATAATAGATGTTGAGTATGTACATCAGAATGTTCATTATTTTTAGGGTATGGAAACTCTAATCACTATCATTATCTAGTTAGAGTAACAAATATGGTAAAATAACACAGTTTGAGATCGCAAACTCTCAATTGATATTATCTCTCTGTATCTTTAGGCAGGTTATTTTATTTGTTCGACATGGCTTATGAAACAAACTCTATTTTCCCAGGTGTAAATGGGGCATTATATTAAGGTCTATAACCAGGTATCTTTTGTACCGAAAGATAATAATAACATGGGTATAATTAAGCATGATAAAAGCCTCAATAACTAACAATTGAGAAGGAATTTCCTTTCAGATTCCTGGTTGTTGGTACTATACATGGTGTCAGATGTCGGGCAACTTGTGGTTTATCAATTCCCAGCATTGCTTTGCAGAGATGTTTTAATTTTGGTGCATTTTAGGCGTATTTCGTATGCTCAGCGCCAAAAGGATGTATGTGAATACAAAATGCCATTAAGATACATCCTTTTGGCGCTAAGCATGCGATTTATACAGCCTTATGTACTCTTCATCTTTTATTATTATTATTAAAGGGTCAGGTTCAACAATTAAATGCATTATGATTCAGAAAGCATTAATCTAGTATCTGATGATTGAAAAATGCTATTGCCTAACAAGCTGGTCATTTGCATCCAGCTCTAGAAAAGTTCTCTCCAATGCAAGACAGATATTTAACCCAATTCTAAATGAAAAATGTCACTAATATGTTTTTTTCTCTAAGTTAGTGCACAAAAATTTCAATTTTATACAAAGTAATTTTCAAATTATATAATCTTCCTTTTATATGATTTATGCAGTTGCTTTATATTATTGGTAGATCTGACACATATTTTGGAAATAAGAATAATATGATGTTTGATAATGGTAATGTTTAAAACATCTAAAGATGAAACATCAATTGATCTATTTATTATTTTCAGCTTGTATTCATCTCATGAAAGCGATTTAATATAATTCAGTTTTGATAGCAACAGGGTGAACACATTCCAAGAGAAATGTGACCCATTCTATCAGGTTACCTTTTGTATGTTTGACACCTGTACAGGTATGAATACCTTGGGATAAAAAGCTATGGCTGGCAAAAATAAAAATGCAAAAAAATGTAAATTTAAGAGAACTAAGCAAGGATGTTAAACAATACAGGTGTTGTTAACGTAATGAATTATATAGAAATTCCAAAAGAATTTATTTTATGCAATTTTTTGTAAGAAAAAGTTTGAAATAAGTATTTCAAGAGTGGGAGATTATACAAGAGAAAGAACATATGTAATTATAGATTTTGGCAACACTTCAAGTAAATTTGAGAATATTTGGATAATTTCTATGGAGTTAGAAGTGAACAATGAAATAACATATTTCCTGTCAAAATTCTAACCCTAGATAGCCCTAAAGCATGTTGGCTCACAAAAAAGTATAGTTACAAAAACGTATGGTTATGAAAATAGATGTCCCCAGGTATTCCCTGATATCTTATTAAAATGCCAGTGAAATTACCATCAAGTGCATTTTTTGCTTTTCTTGCTGTGTCGCCTGCTGTCAAAATGTCCATTCTTTTAAAAACACATTTCTAACATTTGAAGCTACAAAATTATTTCAATCTAGAGTATCTTTGAAGACATTTTTAGGAGTTTTCCAGGCCATTTAGGTAATTATATATGAAGTATGTATGCATCTTGTAGTTACTGGAAAGGGGATAAATAGAGGATAATTTGTCTAAAATTAAGAACTTTTTATCAGATTATTAGAGTATCAATTTATCTTTCTCTTAAAGTGTTGAAATCTCATGGATTGCTCTTTCTTTAGTTCATTCAGAGTTCATGTTTATGTTGAAGTCAAGAATGACATCTGACAGAAAAATGAGATTTTTACAGTTATATATGTACATTCTTTCGAAAACAGACAGATAGAATATTTCGTCAAATAGTTTTCAAAAAAAAGATTTGTCAGTACAGTAGCTACATTTATCAGTATTATTACTGAACATGCATGACATTTATACTTTAAATATTTCAAGAAATGAAAGGAATTCAATTAAATCAGTGAAAAAAATAAACATAAACATTACAAAGTGGTTGCTGACCCTGGTGTCCTTGTGAATTGAGACATTTAACATGAGTTGACCGATTAAACATGATAAGATCAATTGAAAGCATCATGTATACTTTAGTACACACACCATAGGTATAGTTTTCATATGTTTATTATTTCAACTAAAAACAGGTGAAAGTGTAGGAGTATGACCTGAAGAAAACTGTTGATTAGATTTGTCGGTCTTTGTATGAATATTTGTATTTTTGAGGCTTGACTATAAAAGATTTAGTCATATCTTGTTTGTATAGCTTAAAAAAGGTGTCTACACTTTTGAAACACTTTCAAATACCATTTCAGTATTTATCTATTGGGTATAAAAATAAAATAAAGAAATATGGTAATACAACCTGTTTTACAAACTTTTGTGTTCCAGTTTTTTTTGGTGATATCGTTTAATTTTGAATAAAGGTATCACTTTAACTCACAAATAAATGTTTGGTGATAGCATACAACTTGAAAATGAATATAAAAAGTGTGGCCAGCCTGGTAAATTAAATCTAGTCTAAAGAATTTCATATTAAGGGGCATTTGGATTACCCTTTCCAATATTTGATTTTGCTTCTTAACCTCTTGACTACCTGGAGTGACGAGATTTTTCGTCATCTCAGAAATGACCTTGGAACCCAGAGTGACGAGAAAAACCGTCACAAAATTGTTCACTAAAATTGCTCTTATTTGAACAATTTTCATCCAATTTACACAAAAATTGTTTTAAAATGTGTAGAAATTATCTCTGTCATCTAATTTTACTAAGTTGTGCATCTAAAGTTGTATCCATATGTAGTAAAATGTCAAAGGGTAGCAAAAATGAAAAAATCTCTGGTTTCAACCGATTTTAGAACCTGGGATTCAAAAGGTTAAAAGAGAGCTTCATTTACATCTAATATAAATAGGCTTTGACTCTCATAAGGTTTCATAACTTGATAGGATATAAAAAAAACATGTAGTATGTTAAGTATGTCCCATAAGCTCCTAAAGGAGAAACTTCTCACTCTGGTATCACTGCATGCCTGAAGATTGTAGTTCTACAGTATAAACCATTTGTTTTAATTTGTGTCCCAGCATGTAGTTACAAACTTTAAATTCCTCAAAATCTTTCAATATTTGAACCCCCAATAGAAAGTTTATCACAACTTTCCTCAGAAACAGTTACATTATACAAAATTAATAAATGATCGTGGCATTAAGG